GGTGCGACCACCGCCGGCGACAGCACCGAGAGCTCCAGGCACCGACACCGAGCGCAGCAGGGAGACGCGGAGAGGCCGGAGCCGGGCGCTGCCCCACCGCAAGCCTCCTCCGGTGTACTGGGTGAGTCGAGCAGTGCGTGTTTCGCGTTGGACGATGCGGTTTTGGGAAGGAGAGATGGGACAGGTGAACGTGATGTTGGGAGACGAGCACCCGCACCGTCGCACATCTCGCGGCACGCGTTCTTTTGTCTCCACGAGGACGTCCCAAAAAATGACCCATTGATTATTAGAGCACAGGCCTATGAATAATAGCTTTTGACTGGTATTGCATGTTTATGTGGCAGCAGTTTTCTAAAATTAGCCTATTGCTTTTATATCCTCTCTTTAGGAAAATGGCCACACTGGAGCTCATGATAGCGTCTGGTTTTGACCTTATTGGCGGTTTTTGTTCATGAGCTTATCTCCTGTCATGACAAGCCTATTTCCACAGTATTACTGTGGGTGCTTGTAGTTAATTGCTGCTATAATGTCTTATTCTCATTTATGTTGCAGCAGGCCACTCCTCAATAGCCTTGCTAGCTAGGCCCTATGATTGTCTGCCTAGTCTTCTAATTAAAGTAAGTTGTGTGTTATCTGTGAGGGCTGCTCATCTTTCCTCCAAATGTTTATTAACTTCATGATGTCATCCTGGGATTTCTAAACTACTGACTAGACTAGACTGCTACTGTCTATAACCCTGCCCCAGTATGAGTTGCCATGTTATTGGATAGGGCAGGTGCATGTTTTGTCATTTTAATGAGGGTTAAGCCATAAAGGATGCCCCTCTCACAATAATATTCCTATAATTTCTGAATTTATTATCACAGTGGTGTTGTGTCCGTTTATAACCTAATTACGTTATCCATAAGGGCAGTCCTAAGAATCATAATGACTTAATTTTAGAATATTATTTATCTTTTTTTTAAGACAATGTAAGCATAACAAACATGCTTTCTGTTTACACTCCATGACACTAATAGTGGATTTGAATAGACCATATCATAGTCGTCTCGTTGCGAGAATTGCAAGCAAGGCTATTTTTGGAACAGACCACAATATTAGCCTGGGTAGAGAGAGCCTCAGCTGCCGAGCCAGGGTTGTTTTCCTGCGTGCTGGGTGCAGAGACAGTCTCTGTGCTCCCTGCGAGTACTGCTGCAGAGTGATGCAGTGGAGCAGTGGGCTGTCAGCGGATGAACGCTCCTTTCCACACTTGGTCGAGGTAACCTGAGCAGGTTGCTGCTGAGTGGAAGAACAGCCTGATGTCATCCTGTTGAGAGGGTGGCACCCGGCGGCACCATCCGGGCTCTCGACTGGGTCACAGGAGGGTTGGAGGGTCAGCAAAGTGAAGATTATATAGATTTTACAGTTACTTCATTAGCTAGGAGCAGCACTGAAGGGTAAGGAGGAGGACTGGGAGTCTAAACCTGTAAGGGTAAGCTGATAGCAAACATCCACACATGTAAGCATTTACTGATATTAACCCCTTAATAAATTGGGTCATGGTCTAAAATGTGTAGGCCTTCCTGATTTGAAATAAGAAGTTTGACAATTTTAGTTAAAATGGACTTCTATGGCTGCATGTGTTAAGACATCAATAGGGTATAATGTTTTGTTTGGCTAACAGTAGGGCTGCACGATATGGTAAAAATACTGTACGATATGATTCACGATTAGTATGAATGAGCCCTGCTGCAATCACAATTTTAATGTTCTTTGAAAAAAACTAATAAAATTGTGATGATGTGACAAACAAATATGTTTTCTTACATCTGGAGAACAAGATTTTTAGGCCACGGAATCTCTGCAGCACCACAGTATTTCACTATATCACTCATTATAATACTGTTTGATACACATTCTATCAAATAATTGTAGCTTCTTGCGATTTCAATAACATTGTGATTAATTGTGCAGCCCTAAGCTATCAGTACAGAAAGCTCAGGTACTGTATGAGTCGTGTTGAATTTCGCATGATAACCAGCCCTACATAAATGTTTCTTCTTGGGTTCCTTTGACATGAATACATTTTTAGATTTAAGCCCACCACTTGGTTGGGGAATGTCCTTGTTAAAGTACCTACGTTAAAAAGCCTTTATTATAGTGGGTACATGATAACAAACAAAGACTAATGCACATTGACTGCAGGGTCAAACAATCACAGACAAGTGAGTAATCTAAGCACAACCTTCAATATATGATCATTTCCGCAGCCACATCCGGCTCCCTCTTTATGGATGAACACAAAGTCACAGATAACAACGATGAACACATATATACATATAGGGTTTCCTGAAACAGAATACAACTAGTACAAACCCCCACAA